CCGAAGTCCAAAGGCGGACGAGGAGCTTCTATATCAAGGGTTCATAGCTGGTAATTGGCGATAGCCCATCCGTTACTAGCTAGAGCGGAGGGGGAGGCAGCAAGATTGGAAGTCCAAGTTTCTGGAGTACTCAAACATAAACGGAAGAAAACGTACCATTTCACACCGCCGTAGACGAGATGAAATAGAACGGTTTTGGCAATTACGTTGACACTAAGCTAATGGTTGTTGGGACGGTAAATGCTACTCCAGCCCAGAAACAAATGACAAGGGAGGACAGACAACAGCCAGTAAATGCAGCAGCTAGAGGAGGAGGGGGACGTGAAAAGGGGCTTATTTGCTTGCGTCGCAACGAACAAGGCCACATCATTCAATATTAAATTTGATAGTGGTGACAGCCGCACCTACGGACCGAACTCGAGTCTACCGTGTGCTTTTACTAGCTCATAGCAATGGCAGAAGCTGCTAGAGATGCTTGACGCAGGCTCGGATGCGGATCTGATGTCTTAAGTTACGGGGAGGCGGTGTAACCTACCTGCCTATTCATTAGAGCAGTCTCAGTGACTACGTCTCGCTGACGGCAGTAGAACTGGATGGCCTCTGTAAAAGTACAGCATCAACTCAGAAGTGGGCTACGTTACCATGGTTTGGCAACGCTATGTTGGACCACAACACCAAGCTATGATCCTAGGCAGACCGTTGCTGGCTGAGTAGAGGGCATGTATGATTCCTCCAGAAAATGCTGTTGAGGCAGATGTGCCGGGAAACGCTGAAGGAGCGCAGAGCTAAGCGGGCCCAACAGCATCCGCAGGCTCTCGAGTAAGAAAGGGGGATTCAATGATTCACAAAGAAAGGAGTGAGAAGAGTTCAACAAGGTGAAGAAGCGCTTCCGGAAACAACGAAGAAGTGCATGAAATCAGGCGAGACTGTGTCCCGAATATCGCAATTTTGGGGAGTTCAATTGTATTATAGCACGAGGAAGAGCAGGAGTGGGTACAACGAAAGAAAGAGTTTTCTGGGGGATTACAGAACACAACAAAGAGCTTGTAGTGGACTGGCCATGCGTTGTGCACCCAATGCGCCGCTTTCAACTCACTCCGTGCAGTGCGCCAGCACTACAATGGCGGTCGGACCTGTAGGCGCCTGTCCGGCAGAGATAGTACAAATAATATAATATTGGAAGTAAAAAACTACATACATCCTAGACTGCTTTTTCAAAGTCCCAAATGCAGAGAATAAGTAAAGGGATTAAGTTAATCTGCAGCTATTGCTTGAGTTAGTTTGCCTTTAAAATGTTACTATTATTGTGGATGGCGTTGTGGCACTGCTGGGGGAAACGTTTCTTGGCTAGCAGCCTTCATGGAAGGAAGTTGTTTAGTGCTGGCTGTTCCCCACATAATGTGCACAGATGCACTCAGAAAAATGGGAAGCATGAAGGTTTGTCTGCAACCAGAGACCCTCTCGCGACATATGTGCTATATTGTATCGTTAGGACAGTCGTGAGGGCTACTGAGGAGTCGTTACTTTCGTCTTGATCCGTAGTGTTCGCCTATACCGAGTTGTTCTATTATAGTTGTCCCCTTTGCACTTTGTTTACTGGTATACCTGCCGTCTTCGCGTTTCAGTGTACTGGTTGCTTACTGCGCCCCTAAGTGGGGGGAGAGGTGCATCAGGGGTTGCACAGAGAAAACAGCAGCAGAAGGAAGAGGAAAGGGAAGGGAGCCTAAACGCATCACACGACAGAAACAGCAGTTGCCACCGGGTTGACAAGGTAACTCGAACGAAGCAAACATATGCATCGCCGGTCGGCGCAGGTGGACTCTTTTATGCTTCACATGCAGAGGTGGTGTCAAAATTATTTGCATCATGGGTTAATGCCGCCTGTGCAGGAGGAGAGCGGGGGGGAGAGCATGCAACCGGTGAATACAGCAGTACAGCATGGCCAGCTGCTTAGGCGCACCGTTGTGGTAAAGGTACACGAACAATGAAAAAAGGAGCTGAAGTACTCCCGCCTCCAGAGGGTCTTGTATTTTCCAGGTAGCTGCAGAAACAAAGAAAAGGGAAGCAGGTGTGCCCAAGGTACCGTATGAGAGTGGGAAATACGAATATATCATGATGCGCAGATGGGTGGACGGAGAGAAATAAAAACTTGTCATTTCTGGTCGCCACCGCCACACGATGGAAAAAACCACCATCAGTCCACTTGGCAACCAGATACCGACACGCAGACAGAGGTGACCACAAGATGCGAAGACTGGTTTCGTGAACGTCTGACGCAGGGCTAAAAGCCAGCTGCAATATATTTAAACAACTTCGTGCACTTTCATCGAGATGACATAAGCCAATTGAATTTCAGAGACGTACTTTGATAGACGGACTCCACCTGACCGAAGAAACGCAATATCTGAAAAAGCGACAAGAATGAACTCCCGTACTGAATTTGCAACGAGGGTTTTTGACGCACAAGACAGTCGTGAGATGTAGATGAGTTAAAGGCTTAAAATAGCTATTCCCAAAGGGCTACTGACCCCCCCTCCAGTTCCTAGAACTCCTGGGCATACAGGACTAAGGATGCGAAGCTGCTAGAGAGAAGAGGAAGCCTCTCAGAGGTGGCCTGTCATGTGCTGTAGCGCACCTTGGCGCTACTTATGCTTCAAGCCAACGCCATTTGCAAGCACAGCATAGCCCCCTTTGCTTTATACGGTACCACTGTAGCCAAATGCTGATCACTTTGTTTGCCCTCATTAGGCAGCTTGCAAGCAAGTAGAAATATATCAACCAACTTCAAGTGAATCGCGTTACAGCGGTTGGGGGGTATTGAACCCTGCGCACCAAAATTGCCGAGGTCTTTCCATAAACCTCCGCCTATTTTGAATTTGACAATTTATCAGGCTCAGTGGTATCAATTGAGCATTCAAATTGCCTTGCTTTCAGAGTTCACAACTTTGATTACTTCGTATCCAGTGAAACAGACTTAACGTCAGCGTACCCAAATTACGGAAGACAGACCAGCCCCAGTAACTGCGAAGACCCCATTTGGTAAAACGCGTATAAGCCAGTGCACAGAAACTAACAAAATTGCTTCACTATGTTTTCCCTTTAGCTGCGCAGAGGGCAGCCGAATGCCGTTCTCTAGTCGCTCGAGTACTCGAGTTTGGCGCGAGTGTGGAAGCGGCATGACCCGAAAAATATCCTCGACAAGTTTTGGACCAAGGGTGAAAGGCTTTGCCTTCTTTTATTAATGTGGGCCTACAGTACACTGCTTGTTAGGATTTTTCGTTTCTGGTGTTCGACACAGCTCAGCAGCGGTGGGACTGCGGCGAACTCGAGCTGCCGTCATCTCTGCACCGCAACTTTTCGGGCCTCACCATATTTCTTACCAAAAGGGGAACATTTGTGTTAATTGTGCAATCCTAATGAACCTGAAAGCCACCAAAGCAGACAAACGTACGCGTGGCATTCCCGGGACCGTCTAAAAGGGTGACCTTGGCGGTTGGCGACTCACACGAGCAAGGGTGGCCTTTGGTCTTTAAACGCTTCCTTTTTGCCCTGATTACACTTCGTTGGCGTGGCAATTCTCGGAACGATGGGGGGCGGTTCTGGTCAGGATTCCGACCCCTGCCAGCCGGCAACATCAGCGCACCATGAGTCAACCAGTCTACCTCTGCGTTCTGGAGGGGAGGTACACAGGAACCAGCGGCTATCTCCTTTGCAGAGAGGAGATCTCGATCTCCTCCCGATGGAGATGACCACCTCAGGCGTGCGCTGCTCATCCGTTGTCTACAAGCTGTCTAGCCAAGCTTACGGAGCGCAACCACCACCTGTGCTCACTAGCCCTGTGCATGGGCTCAGCTCCAGGTCAGCAGTTGATAGCTGCCGCCACTGTTGGTTGCTTCTGCACCACCGGCGGCGGATGCCATTTAGTAGTTGTTGGTTGCCGTTGCTGCTGCTGCTGCTGCGATACTCCCTGGCGGACACCGCTGCAGCTGGTGCTGCGGTGTTGCTTTGCACACGCCGCTTCAGCTGTAGAGTTCCACAGGCGAGTGCAAGCATGTTTTGCTGCTAGTAACAGTGGCAACATCGGGGGCTCTTACATGCTGCAGGTTCTCGAGCAGCTTGGCACAGGGGGGGATGTACAGGAGGCAGGGACTGGAGACGAGCATTCAGCGAGAAAGGGTGGTGGAGGGTTCAAAGGACTGGCTAATGAAGATACTATGACTTGAAAAAGAATGAGCAGCCCCTGATGCAGTGCTATTTAAGAGAACTGCTCAAGGCGCTGGCTGCCCTCAAGATTCCACGCCGACGACTATACTGTTCGTGTGTGCACGTAGCACATCTGCTACGTTCCTTCTTTCCCTGCTAGCGAACTTAGCCATCAGGCTAGCGAATTAATCAGCTTCCTACCTAGCTCAGACACCTACCGAGGCACGCTAAGCTTGTCGAATGTACATTCGACGGCCAACAATGATGGCACGACGAGCCACTCACCATCGTAAGCCAAGTCCAAAGTTTCGAATACACTAATAACCGACGCTTCAGCATATATATTTCGCTCTAAAGCAAGAGCGCCCAGTACTCGCAGGCGTTGCGCTAGAGATTATGAGGATTGCAAGCTGCAATAGCACCCCCTCCTACATTATGAAGATCTAATGTGCAGTATGCATGTGCGCAAACACATGCATGAATACACAGAACAATGCATACATTCATGCCTACATGCCTGCATACATGCACACCTGCATGTATACATGCACACAATTATCTGTGTACCTACGCAAGTATGCGTGTCTGAACGCATGCGCGGGTGTGCGTACAAGTATATTCATGCGCATACACATATATTAGGGTAGATGCGAGTATACACCCACGTGCACGTAGAACGAAATACATACAAACATACACTATATGTAGGTGCATATATATGAAGGGACAGAAGCCGTTGAAAAGCAGCTCGAGCGTGCCTTCGATAAGGCACTTGTCACAGAGGGCAAACCTGCTGCTCAGCTGCTCCCCGCAGCCTGTAGGTTGTGCTCAAGTCCTTGCACTACAGATCTAGGCATTATTCGCACCACGAGAGACATGAAGAAGATGGAAGGCGATGTCTTGTGCCCTGCTCCCACTGGCCCGTTGTGCTTAGAGCTGCGTCGATACTTCGGCCTTGGCTGCTGTTGCGGCTGCTGCTGCTGTTGAGTCCTGCAGCAGCAGTCGGCGCTGAAGCTGCGCAATTTGCTGCTCTATGACTTCTCGCCGCATCTGAAGGCTCTGAAACTGTTGGAGACTCGGAAAAACGAGCCGCCTGGGTGCGTGCTGTCCCACCCCTGGCAGCAACACCGCGCCCTCAAGAAGCCGTGGGACGTGGTGTTGTATGGCCGCGTTAGCACCACTACCAAACACAACAGCAGGCACTGACCCATACCTTCGCAGCAGAGCCACTCTTGGCTGCATCAACTGCTGCTGTTGCTGTTGCTGCTGCTGCTGCAGCGAGACCCACGCAGCATGCAGTGCGCTCAGCTGCTTCTCAGCTGCTGCCAACTCCGTCTGGACCTGCTGCTGTACTTCCTGTTGCTGTTGCTGCTGCCTCTGTTGCTCCTGCTCCTGCTGCTGGACGGTCCCTAAAGGCATCTGCGTCGAAGCCTGCGGCGCCAAAAATGAGCCATCTTTTGTCGGTCGTGGCTCCGCTGCTATCTGCTTCTGCGCAGCTGCTTGCTGCTGCTGCAGTTCATGCAACAGCAAAAGCTGCTGTTGCTGCTCTGCCACTTGAGCCTGAAGTTGAAGAGAGGTCCCAACTGGTTGGCTTTGCCCGGATGCTGCATCAAGCCCTGCTCCATCACGTGCAGTTGAAGCAGGTGTTACTGCAGCAGGCGTTACTCCAGCGGGTGGTACTGCAGCAGGTGCTGATGCAGGAGGTGCCGCTGCTGCAGGTGGTGCTGTAGGAGGTGTCGCTGCAGGCAGTGGTGCTGCAACAGGTGACGCTGTAGGAAGCGGTGATGCAAGAGATGTTGGCAGAGAAGGTGCTGTTGCGGCAGAAGGTGCAACAGGTGCTGCTGCAGCAGGTGGTGCAGCCAAATCCTCCGTATCTGCGCTTGTGTTGGGAGAGACACTGCCTGCGTTGGGGGCTGAGCCTGTAGAGGGTATCTGTCCCCACCCCGCACCTTCTTGGGCAATTTGGTTGACTAGCAGTTTAGAATTCGCCTCACAAGTAGCGGTTGTTTTGATCGTCTCCTCACGGATAGTGCAGTGCTTTGCAAACACAAACTCCGTCCACAAGGAAACGGGGTCGACCCCGCTGGAATCGTCTCTCTGCCCCTCCAGCGTTTCGCTGAGAGCCTGCAGCAGCCGCTGCCGTTCTTCCTGCGGATGTTCGGCGAATTTCGTCAGTCTCACAGTCCCCCCTGAGCTGTATGCACATCACGCCACAGCAGTCCGCAGAAACAAGAGCAGCACATAGGGGGGAAAGACAAAAAATGCAAAAACGCAACAGCAACAAACAAGTGGGGCGCCTGTAGTATATGCATGCGCAACCAACCAAACAACAACAATGCTCGCCACGCACGTCGGCAGGCGTCAAGCCTCAACTAACATTAGCAGCAAGAACAAAACAACAAAAGCAGAACGAGCAACATAGGCAAAAACGGACAGGTGCTGGCAACCACTAGGAGACCCCAAACAGGGCGCCTCAGGGAAAACGATCCCACACCGGCACGAACTACGAACACAGTCCATTTTAAGACACGATGGAGAGACTTGCACGTTCCAATGCATCCGCGGGCATAGAAAGTTAAGAAAAGTTCGTGCCAGGAGGCGCTCAGACCCACGCGTTTGAATCGCTTCTACTGCACTTCTGCAGCGCCTGTTCTTCCTCATTTTGGGAGCGCCGAGCACTTGCAGGGAGCATATCTGCATCAGCAGAAAGTCCCACGGTGACAATGTGGCTGTCTCCAGGGCGTTGTAGGCCATGGCTGGAGGTATCGCCAGTCTCCTCTCCCTCCTGTGAGGTCGCCAGGCCCTTTTCGGGACTCTTCGGCGACTCGGTGGCTCCAGTAGGCGCTGGGCCCTCGCCTGGAGCTCGACCGTCTCCTGCGTCTTCAGTCAGTTCTGTCGTGGGCCTACGGGGCTGCAGGCTCTCGACAAGAGGCCCCAGCCGCTGCTTTCCTGGCTGCTCGAGGGGGCCCTCCGCCACTGGGCTTTGGGGTCCCCGAGGACCCTCAAGGGCCCCTGCAACAGAATTCGAGCCCAAAAAGATGCACTCAGACTGCCCTGTGGGGGAAGAGACGCTCTCTTCCCTTGTTGCCGCCTCGATCTGAGATGCACAAACAAGCAGAAATGAGACAGGAGGGAGACAGTCGCTTGTGGGCTGTGCCCAGCTGTTGCAGATAGTTGTTGGTTCACACGTTTACGCCTATGCACTACAGAACGCACAGCCAACCAGCGCCGGCAGCAGTAGCAGATCAGCACTTAAAAGAAAAACACAGGCTGCAGAGACAAATAAGCCCCAGGGAACAGCTGAGAGCTATGTGCTTGCGTCCTGGGACAGGGACACGCATGCGCATGCCTAGTCATCCAAGCAGAGAGGCCCCCACTCGGCTACAGAGTCGGCTAGCTATCTGGATGGATAGCTACTCCACTCCTTCCAGCAGTGAAGGCTGCATTCCGCTTGTGTGGGACACACCTTTACAGTGATTCGTTGCCTCGACGGCCCGAAGACCAACTTGTTGAAGTACCTTCCCAAAGACTCGGGACACTGCATAAAGTGCTGCGATGCAGCTGCTGCCAACTGCAAAGATAAAGCATGCAAGGCCAAACACACGCATTAGACGCATCAGCCTGCAGCACAAGGCCCGCCAGCATCGAGCAAAAGTATATGGTTTAGGGTTTATGGATTAGCGCTCGGTGTCTAGTGTGAACAGAACGGCTGGGCCTGATGGACTGCAGATCTTAAGCGCATCATGCCTTGAAGCGCGCCTCACTTGGGATTTGATGAAGCAGAAGCTGCGTGTAGAAACTTGAGCGACCGCTCTGCAACGAACACCACAAGCCCCATATACTCAACCGTCGTTATGACAGCAATACTATACCCAAAACACAACTCAGATGATGCACCGCATTTCCCGCGTCGATGTCCCTAGGCCGTGCAAAGGGCACAAGCACCCCCCAGTTCTTGTGTTTTAAATAACATGTCTAGGTAGTCAAGCAGAAGCGTCAAGAGTTTAGGGTTTAGATATTAGGGTGTATGTACCCTGAAAAGAAGTCGCCAAATGTGGCCTGCTCCCGCTCTAGGTGGCTGCGTCCCTCCCACTTCATTTTGCTTTTAAATGCGGCGGGGCTGAGGGCACCTGCTAAAAGACCGCCCATTAAATGGAGAAAGCCGCAGACGTGCTCTTCCAATTCCGCCGGCGTTCGCACGGAACTCTGTAGCCAATGCACTCAACACACACGATCACCTCCACGCGTGCAGGCAAAGACTCGCACTTAAGTGCATGCATGCATGCACAGTCCTCAACTCAGCTGGCCGCACCAATATCCCCCAGTGTCAGAGGCGTTCCAGCAAGGTACGTGTGAGCCTGCCACTGTTTCGTCTCCTTCTGTTTCCTGCTAAGCATCAGCCGGTGAAGTGTGTCGCCGTAAGTGCAGCAGCTGCAGCATCTGCAGCAGCTGCTGCAGCAGGCGCAGCAGAATCTCAAGCAGGATGACTCACTTGCACGATGGTACTTAAGGCACTGACTGGGGGAAGTTCTGTGACACCAGCTGAGGCGACGTAGCCATCCATGTTGACGGTGCGGAGAGTGTCAAAGAAGGGGGCCCTTATCATCTCCCCCACGGTGCTATATATGACAGACTCGAGGACGTCTGGCGGCTCAGACACATAAAGAGATACAAATGCGCTGTTCACGTCCCCGGGGATTGGGTTCTGTAGAGACACCTCCACGTCCCTAACTAAATTCAAAGTCTGCCGATGCACAACACGCACAAAACACAACTTCAAGCAAAGTTCAATGAACAAAAAGCTAAGAAAGGTTGATGAACAAACAGTGATTAAAACGCTCAGACAAGCAGACAGTGGAAGCAAGAAACAGTAGTAAGTAAATACAATAAGCTAACACAACCAACATATGAACCCCAAGCCAATGCTGCACCGACGGGACTTCGCATTCCCATATATGCTTACATACAAATGTAAATATAAAATATAAACATATATATGCATATTATACTGCACATTTTAAATCGTTGCTATCTTCTTCCAATATCGAAAGCCCTGCTGATTCACTCACACTTCGTCCAACAAAACCGCAACTACATTTTGATTTGCAAGCGACAGAACGGCATATTTATCAGCGAAAGTGAAACTACACGCTAAACATGCATGCGCACAAACATATAATATATATATATATATATATATATATATTATATGTACATACATACATGTATGTGCAAAAACGCATAGTGATACATTAGCAACGTATACACGCACACGCACGCACACACACATATATATATATATATATATATCTAAACGACACTCATAGTGACTCCTTAGTATGCTGGAAAGAAGGAAAAGCTACCTTGCTGCTAGCGGCTTCCTCGTACGGGAGGGGCTGGCTGCGGATGCTGTCTACGAACTTAAGCGCCACGGTTGTGGCTTTGCTGGGGGCGATGTCTCCCATGAGGAGACAGTCCACTGCAGTGCGTAGAAGTGCCCCCGAAACAAACTTCTGAAATGCTTCAAAATTCAATTCTGGTGAATGCAGCTGCTCCTGCATGTCAAACTGCGAAAAGCGATATTCCCGCAAAAGACTCAACGCCACGTCCAGCGCCAGTTCGTACGCTGTCGAGCCTGAGAAGTCTCTCGTCGTCTCCAGAAGCTGATGCATGCACACAAGGGAAACACGAACTGCAACTGGATACCTGTGTAACTAGTTATCTAGATAGCTAGCTACCTGGCTAGCTAACTCAGCTTGGCTTGCTAAGTAGCAGCAGAGTGTACAGGCACGCCCTGTAACAATAAACTCCTTCATGTAAATTGGTAAGCAAAGTTCAGGAGTCTCTCTCTCACGTGTACATGCGACATGTGTATAGTTACATAAAACGGATTCTACTGTGGCAGACGACAAGCTGAGACCTCAGATCTCTTAATGCACAGAACAGGCCCCCCTCCTCCGCCCCCGCCCCTACAGAAAGAAGCAGTCTTACTTGAGCAACGGTCTTGTCAAACTCCTCCTCCGTGATCTCTGCCACCGTTTGCTTGAAAATCAAACCCAAACCTTCCGTCACCTCTTCAAACAAGGAGCTCAAAGTCTGCGCGCAGAAGCGCAATGCTTATCTACCAACCGATGCATGCATGGACGCATGCAACTGGCATACATAGCCGCATCGATATACTTATATATATATATATATATATATATATATATATATATACTCTTTTGTACGTATGCAGGAAGTAAGCGACCTGTCCAGCAAACAAATGTACAAGTTTGTAGTTCACAAACCTAACAAGTAAATGCATGCAACCTGCACACGAAGACGAGATGTATAGAACGCACGAGCGCATGCAACAGACACATGCAAACAACAGCAACAGCAGGACGGGTGGTAGCAACTTAAGGAGCAGAAGGGGTAGCAGCAGTTGGGGAATCGGCAGAAGCAGGAGTAGCAGCATCTTAAACACCATTAGAGAGAGCGGAAGCAGTAGCACGAACAGCAGCACCGGGAGCAGCAACAGCAGCGGGAGCAACAGCAGCAGGAGCAAGAGCAGCGGGAGCAACTGCAGAGGGAGCAGCAGCGGTGGGAGCAGCAACAGTGGGAGCAGCAGCAGCAGAAGCAGGAGCAGCAGCAACGAGAGCAACGGCAGCAGGAGCAGGATGGTACCTGCAGTTCAAAGATCAGCGATGCTCCTGTGTAGGCGATGACGAGATCCACGCCGCATCCGTGGTATTTGGCGAGGTGAAGTTTGGCTTTTTCTGCTAAAATGAGTGTAAATATTTTACCGAGAGCATCATGAAGAGCGGTGGAGACGGAAGAAGACACTCGAGCTCTTGCGAAGAAACGAACGATGGGCTTGTTAAAAGGCTCTCCATTGTGCCACAAGATAGTAGTGCTGTCGCTAGAGAGAAGCACGCAAGGAGGCGGAGCAAGGCCTCGTTGCTGCTGCTGCTCCTGCTCCTGCTGTCCTGTCTCCTCCTCTGACGCTAACGTAGGCAAACGGGCCCCCGTCGCTTGGCAGACGTCAGGGATAGGGTGCTTTACGACGGGCCCCTGGGTCACTCGGCAAGAGAGGGGACTCGGAACTATCGGGTGGGGGCCCTTGTGGGGCCCCTCAGAGGTATCTCCTGAGGCCCCCTGCTCCCACGGCAAGGTGGAGACAGAATATTTGACGCCGTACTCATTCAACTCTTTTAGAGACCCCGACGCCTCTCCCTTCTCATTTGCAAACACCTGCACCACCACATGCTTGCTGGAGATCAGTGCGCGAGCCAGGCGACGCACTTCGGTCAGCAGTGTCTCCTTAGGAGGAGGAGACAGACAAAATCCCGATCCCAAAGCCAAGTCCGGCCTGCTCGGGAACTGTAGCGTCGTCTCTGCAGTTGCCACGACCTGATCAAGAGGCCCAAGAGGGTCGGAGGCACTCCAGAGCAGACCGCTGAGCTTGCCGTACACGTCAAAGTGATCCAGTATAAACGAGTCCTTGGCCACCGCCTCCGTCACCTTCAACACAAACTCGCGCACTAAACCCAACAACGCATCCGCGTTTGATTCCCCCTCCTCGGTTAATTCCAAGGAAAGCCCCACAATGGAACTCCGCAACGTCATGTGCGTGAACGCCTCCCCCCTCGATATGTAGCCTGCAGCGCATGCATGCATGTACGAATGCAGCCCAAAACATCCTTCACGACATGCAAACAGTCACAGTTCCGACTAATCCAGCCGAGCTTCACTTCCGAGGAACTGCACCCAAGAAGTCAACGACTGAAGCTACAGCAGCAGCAGCAGCGGCAGCAGCAACAGCAAGGAACTGTCTCCGCACTCTCACCCTTCTCCTTAAGGAGCTGCAGGAGACCCCCTTTCACGGGGTGCTCGAGGAGGTACTGCAGCAATGATGAAGGCTGGCACTGTAGGTCCACCAAGTTTGCCTCTAAGTCAGCAGGGGCACTCCAGAAGACAAACAGTCGCCTCCGCCACCCATGATCGCGCTTAAGGCTCAGTATGATTCCTGCAGCAGCCGCAACAGCCCAATCTTTAAACCCTAGACCCTAACCCTAAACCATAAACCCCAAACGCTAGCTCCAGTGTACCCCACTGCACTTGCTGTAGGCTCCTACTAGGGCCTACTGACAAGACAAAACAGCGAAAAGAGCATACCCTCAGGAAGTTCCTTCTCGCCGCCATCGTCTTCAGCTGTGTCTCTCGTGGGATCGCGACTTGCAGCCTGGGGATTGTCTCCTTCGCGGAGTGTCTGGTGTGCTCCCGCGGGTGTGCTTGTGCTTGTACGGGCCTCAGAAGGACCCTCCTTATGCGTCTCCTCCTTCTGGGAGACTGTCTGACGCTGCAGGAGACTTGCCCCCGGTGCCTCAGGTGAAGCACTTGAAGCCCTTTCCCTAACAGCAGCAGAAATCAACTCAATCACCTCCCACAACCCGTACTGCTGCTGCGGCTGCGAATCTCCTTCAATGCGGCCCATCCTGAGTACAAGGTACAAGAATAACAGAAGAGACAGCAGCATTGCGCAGCCCCCAACTAAAGGGAACAACCCCTCAACCCTTCACGCCGCAGCTGCTTCTGTTGCTGCAGCTGCTATTACAAAGCCTGGTTGTTCAAAGCACTGCGACGCCCTTTCCATCCTTCACTAAAATGGTGTTCGTTAGCAGCAACAACAGCTCTAGCAGACGCAGCAGCAGCTGATGTAGCAGTAGCAGCCGTGCAGCAGCAGCTGTAGCAGTGGAAGCAGCAGAAGGGGATTGCTTTGCAAGCTAATAAATGCGCCTCTGCAGCGCGGCAGACCTGAAGGAGATAGCCATGTTCTCAGGCACATAACACTTGCTGTGAAGGCGCCTCATCGAGGCCAGCACGTCGATTCCCTCGCGTCTCGGGCGCTCGCAAAGTGTCTCCAAATTGCCGGTCCCGAACTTGCCGGAGACAGGAGACACACAAGTGTCTCCTGCGCTGTCTCCATCGCTGTCTCCTCCACTGCCTCCTGTCCCCTCTGTCCCCGAGTCCGGCAAGTACTGCAGCGCCAGGTGCAGAGCCACCCTCTCCAAGTCTGGCGTGTTCTTATCGTGCTCTGATTGTACAGCCATCACCTGTGGAATGCAAGCGCAAAGCCCAAACCCTAAACCCTAAACCCTAAATTTTAGAGTCTTAGACGCTAGAACCAGCTGAAACCGACCCCTGTGTGCCTGCCCCTCCTTCCACCAGCTTCTCAGTCTCCTGTTACTTTTATTTCTTTCCTTGTCCTCAACTGAGTTTGTCTCTTCCTCGGTTTGCTAGTAGCTCGCTTGTTGTCTCTTCCTGTCTCTCCATGTCTGTTATTGTCCGTGTGTCTATCCGTTTATGCGTGCGTGTTTGTCTGCTGTCTGCTGCCTCTGGATCTGCGCATATGCTTGCATGTGTGTCTCCGTTTATCTCCCTGTCTTGGTGCCGTCTGCCTATGCGACTAGTTGTCTGTGTGAGTGAATTTGTCTGTCTCCAGCTCTGACTCTCCGTTGTTGATTGTCTCCTTATTGCTGCAGCCTGCTGCAGTTGTGGGGAAGGTCCCTACCTCGGACTGCATTTGCTGCGTTAGCAGAAGGGGATGGAAGATGTGATCAAGGAAGACACTGAAGAGCTCTGCGAGGTGTTTTGAGGGCGCGGAGACATAGAAAGTAGTGGTGTCGGGCTTCGTGTGAGCGTTGTGGGTCCCTCCTCTGCTGCTAATGAACTCATCCCACCCCTTCAAATCCGGCTGCATCGAGCTCCCTAAGAAAATTGCATGCTCCAGTGCATGCGCTAGGCCTGGCAAGCCCCGTGGGTCGTTGAAGTACCCGCACCCCACAGATACTGCAAAGGCGCCTATCTCCTGCGACAGATCTACTCCTGCAAACCCCGAAAGCCCCAAGTCCTCAACACGAAAGGAAGCATATTCAGAATTGTCTAAAGGAGGCTTCATCACGCTCTGTGGCGGATCTCCAGACGCTGCACCTCCTCCTGCTCCTGTTGCTCCTCCTGCTGCGTTGAAGGCCTCCAGCTGCTCCTCTACTGTTGGGACTGCGTCCGGCTCCAACACTTTCCACGGGCCTTTAATGGGATCCGATCCCCCACTCGATCCCGTCTCCCGCCCCAGAGGAGGAGCACCTTCTTCCACCTCTTGTGGCTCACGATGCCCTCCGGAGTCGTCGCCAGATGCTGGTGAAGAGACAGCAGGAGTAGAAGCAGCCTGGCTTTCTTGCTGTTGTTGGCCCTTCTCTGCTGTCTCCTCCTGAGACGCCCCACGAACGTTACCTTGCGTTTGCCTCCCGAAGATCCGCTGGGACCCTCGCGATCCTACTCCCGATCCCGATCCCGATCCCGATCCCGATTTCGGTGCCTGTGGGATCCCCTTTTTTGCGTGTGTGTCTGCAGCAGCAGGGCTTTTTAAATGAGGGCCCCCTTTATGTGATGGGGGGCCCCGTTTTTGTTGGGAGGAACCTCCAGACTGTACGGAGGGGCCCCCTCCTCCTACTTCTCGATTGTTTTCTCCAGTAGGAGCCGTTGTTTGCTGCTCGGAGGCGTCAAGACCAAGGGGAGATTGGGCCGACATGTCGGGGCGATCATGAAGGCTGTTCTCTGATGTTTCTGTTGCTGCAGTTGCTTCTTTTGCTGCTGTTGCTGCTGCTGTTGCTGCTGCATGATGGTCATGGTGGGGCTTACGCTCCCGACTTCCTCGTTCGTCTCGTGGGGATGAGGCAGATGCATTCCCCCCCGAAGAAGATCCCTCGCTATGTATTGAAATAGGAGAGCTTAGCTGTTGCTGCTGCTGATGATGGTGATGTTGCTGCTTCTGCTGCTGCTGGTGCTGGTGATGCTCGCTCCCCTCTGCAACTCCAGTCGATGCAGAAGTACCTGAAGTTGCAGCTGCTTCTGGGGCAGCTGGAGGATCAGAAGGTGTTAAGGGGCTACTGCGAGTAAGAAGACGGTGCCCATACACCTGAAAGGGACAAAAGAGGAGAAGGGAGGAGACAAAAAGGAAAAAAAACAAACACTTGGGAGGCCCCCAAGGGGCCCCACAAGCAGCCTTCATGGCTGCATGCAAAGTCCAGTTGGGGCTGGCTCGCAACCCCTAGGGAAGAAATATAATGCTTTACTTTGTTTACACAGAAGCAAAGAGCAGCGGCACGACCTGTTGATGTTTCTACAGCTGCTGCTGCGCAGAGGAAAACAAGGTGAAGCCGCTCCTGCTGCTGGTGTACCTGCTGTTGCTGCAGGTCCTCCTGCTGCGGCTATTGCCCTGTTAGGGCTACTGCTGTTACTGCTGCTGCTGCTGCTGCTGCTGCTGCTGCTGCTCCTGTTCTTCCGGGTTGAAGCATGTAGGCAAAAGCTGAGGCCCTCAGTCAGTAGCAGGGCTGCGTAGGAGTCAGGGAGATTACATGGGGAAGAAAAGGAAGAGATTAAAAAGAAGGAAACAAATACAAGAAATTGAGAGTTCTTGCCTGTGTGCTTGGACGGGTGTGTCGCCCGCTCAGCAGCTAGCTCCCTCTGAGGGGCCCTTCTGTGGGTTGTTTCAATGAAGTACGCCGTCTACTAGACTTCTTTTGAAGTTATAAAAGTAGAGAAAGGAAGTAAACAATCAAATAAAGAGGCTGCAGCCCCAGAACTCCCCCCCTTTACAGCACCTCCGTATCGATGCTTTCGCAGGGCCCCCAGGAGGTTATAGATAAGGGTTAGAGCAGCCGCTTTATCTTTGTTACCCTCCGTTGTTTACTGGAAAGGAATATAATTAAAACAAATAATATATATCAAATAAAGATAATGATATAAATCGAACAAAGCACGAAAATCATAGAAAAAGTATTGGGCGGTCTGGTCCGGCCCCCGGCCAGCTGAAGTTTCTGAGGGAGAAATATCAAAATGTTTTGAATTTTTTAGTATTTTAAATAGATTAAAAACAACATTAAATATGAAGGCGATATTAATGCTTAACTTGAATACTTTTTCGGTAAAGTGCACGGACTTGCCGGCGTAACAAGGAAGGAGGGGTGTCCTTATACACCTGAACTTCAAAACTTTTGCTTTAACACTGAGTTGCAGACGAACAAACAAATTCAATCTTTTCCCTTGACATAAAATATAAATATAGCGTCCAGATGCTTCATATCGAACTGCCTTACCCCGTTTCTTACAGTGTCTGCACCCTCTGGAGCTGTTGCGGGTTTTAGGGTTTCGCTTGCAGAGACAGCAAACGAAATGTCTTTCATTTAACTCATTAAGAGAAAAAGTTGAAGTGCCCATACACCGCACAACTACCACCAACCCAAGCATTAAGCCGTCTAACCCCTGCAGCCTCCTTTCAGGTGCTGCAGTAGCATCCATATATATATATATATATATA